TCCCAGAAGCTGTACTTAGACCTCACTCTGACCCTGGGGATTGCTAGGAAAGAACTCCCTGCTGCTGGGCAGGAAAGAACACTAGGTGCTTTAAGCCCAACTAGAAAAGACCCTTGTAGCCCCTGCTGTCAGCCCAGGCAGATAGATGAGACAAAGAGGTGATGGAGAAAAGATGTCCCCTCCTGCTGCATCCCTGTCCAGAGCAGGTTGACTCCTGTCGGCGTCCTGAGCAGGTGCTCCTCTGTGAGCATCTAGGATCTTTCCCGTCTCCCTCCTCCCCTCGGGGAGTTGCCCAGCGGGTGGGGGAGCTCTTGGCAGCAGCGTTAATACAGTTGCTTTGGCAGTCTGCAGCAAATGAGAAGGGGTGATACGTTTACTCTGACACGACAAGCGCGCGCCGTTCCTAAAGAAAGAAATGATTCCATGCAAAGGAAAACTTAGTTACTGGAATAAGCTCATCACTACCTGGCAGTAGTTCGCAGACATTTTTGGAAAATGGGAGCTTCTTCCAGCCGATGGGGCCGGCCACTGGGCATTAGAGTTAAGGGGCGGCTGCCCTGGCCGGGGGCCTCTGTAGGGTTGTCTGGGACACTGAGTTGCTGTCTGTAGAGAATCCCGGAAATTGCTCTGTGAAGGGCAGATGGTGACATCCACAATATGGAGGCTCAGATCTGTAAAGAATCGCCAAGGGCTTCCTTTTCAGTTACAGCTTCCTGGGACTGTGGAGCTCTATTCAGGGTGTCCTGAGAGGGCTGGGAGTTCGTGTTTTAGCCCAAAGGGTTCAGATGCCAGTGTGGAGCGAGGAAGATCCGTGACTTCTGCTCAGCGTCATCATCCCCAGCTTATTTGGAAAGGATACTTACATCCTACTGAAATAGCATTGAAACAGTCTCGTCTTTAAGGGAAGCAGCATCCTGGCGTCTCTTCTTCCTCCTTCCAATTTCATTCCTAGAGCAGGTGCCTGTCCGTGACCCATCTGGCTGTGACCATGGGTCTCCACCACATCAACCTCTTCCAGCCCTTTTTTGTTTCCTGTCCCGTCCTTCCTTAAAAAAAAAAAAAAAAAAGGCAAATCACTCCACATCCCTCATCACCCCCAACAAACAAGTCCTGAAATATAAGTTCATTATGTTTATAAACAAATAAAGCTGGCTTTGATAAATGTAGGCAATCAGTAACTAAATCAATACTCTGCATAGATAGATAGATAGATAGATAGATAGATAGATAGATAGATAGATAGGCACAAAGTATCCCTGGGGGATACATAAGAAAATATAAGAACAAATCCTTAAAAGTCCAATTTTAATAATAAAGTTTCCAGTAAGATACCACTACATGGCCCCTGGAGTAGCAGTAATTGAGAAACGGCCAGGTGGTGGAATGTGGGGAACCTGGACCCATCCTGCTTTGTGAATGGAAATGTAAGATCATGCAACAACTTATAAAATAGCATGTTAATGTTTCCAGTCGGGAAACTAAACTCGCTGCACAGCCCAACAGTTGTACTACCAGGACTCTCCCCAAGAGAAATTGAGACATATTTGTACAAAAGCTCACATGTGAATGGTGACGGCATCATTCTTCATAATAGCCACAAACTGAAAAGAATCTGAATTGTCCATTAAGTGATGGCTAGGTGAGCAAAATACAGTATATTCATACACTGGAATGATAAAGTTTAAAAACCAAGTTCTGATATATACTGCATGTGAACAAATCCAACAAATATACTAAGTGAAAAGTGCCGAAGAAAAAGCTACACACTGTGCGATTCCGTTTATATGAATCTGGAAAATGCAGGTTTGTAGAGACAATGGAGCTATGATTGTCAGGATCTACGATGGTTTTAAGGCGCCTTTGGGGGGGGGGATAATGGAGGTGTTAAAACTGGGCTGTGGTCATCTGTATTCTCAGTTATGCTTATGCTGGGGAAGTTTCATGAAATATGAATTTACCCCATGAGACTGTTGATGTTGACTGCACGCTCCACAGTCAGTGCAGTAACTTTTCTTCCTGTGTGAGAGACAGGAACTGTGGCCAAAGGGTGGACCGCACAGCTTTGAGGTTCCTAAGAAGGGTGCCCTTACTGGGAGGAACTCGATTAAACTACCAAAACTTGGACTTTTTCTCCCCCAAACTGAGATAAATAAGTCCCTTTTCTTTGTAACAAATCGTCAGGCTTCTAGTTTTTCATCACAGCCACAGAAAGCAGTGATACAGCAGTCAGCGTGTATGGCCACCCCATCAGGACTCAGTAGAAAACTCATTTCCATTTTCGCTTAAGAAGGTCCTCAGTGAAGCACTGTAAATTACATTTCATTACATCTCGTGCTCGGAGGCATATCTTTCTCCCAGCCTTGCAATGAAGTAGGAGATGTGGATGAAGCATTTCCTTTGCCTACCCAAGGACAGTGTCTCCAGGAAGAAAAGCCCTTGTGCATTTGATGGAGATGTTAGCCGAGTGTGCGGTTCTTTCTTTTAATGGGATAGCATAGCTCCTTTAAAGATCCTGGGTGCTCAAACCTGGGAATCTGGTAAATCATTTCCTCAAAAATGAATGAAGAGAGATTTTTGCTTCAAGGAAAGGAATTGACACAGGTTTGTCATTGACGGCTTTGTTTTCAGTTTTGCCAGTGTTAAAATTCAAACCTTAACCAAAAAAAAAAAAAAAAACAATATGAATGAGGTGTCATATCTTGAAGACTATGGATAGAAGTGTTGGTTCTAAACATTTGAGAGCTGTGGCCAGTAACTAAACCATGAACTCTGGAGTCAAGCTTCCCAAGTTCAAAGCCCAGTATCACCACTCATTACTTATATAACCTCAGTTAGGTTCTTCATTGCCCTATGCCTCAGTGTGCTCATCTGTAAAATGGGAATTAAGTGACTAGGCATGGTGGTGTGTACTGTAAAACTGAGGAATGACGTTTGAGACTTCAAGACCAACACTGTCTCAAGAAAGAGAGAAAAAAAGTAATAAAATGTTACCTAATTCAGAGGTGTTGTAGGTGTGAAAATGAGCTAATGTATGCAAATATTTATGAACACTAAATAAGTCAGTATATATTAAAATATAGGTCCTCAGTTGTTATTACTGGTCTTGTTGAATTATAATCTATGAAATAAAGACATAAGTACATAGTAGAAAGTTTTGCCATTGAGTCTCTGTCGTTTGAGGGTTGTTCTTAGCAAGTATGTATAATAGGTTTTTAAGGGAGATTTGAAGAGGTAATATAATTATGTAGAGTAGTTTAATAAGAATATAAGCAGGTTACAGTTATGTGACATTTCAGTTCCCTGCCTCCAGGATGTTGAAAATTTTGATGTATCATTTGAGCTCTAGGAATTTGGGAGATTATGTGACCAGAGGGGAGTGGCAGATCATACCTGCCCACCTTGTATTTAAGAATACATATAGCTTCAAGGAGAAAGTGTTCAACCTGGAAGAAACCTGTGTGCTCGACCCGGCTGGAAGGCTTCCGTCCGTCTCTTTTCTTCTCTGAGATGGACAGAAAGACTGGTTGTTGGCTCTGTCCGTGTACTCTGCTGCTCTGTGCAGAACACCCTGCATGATTGCAGAAGACCCTGCATGATGCTCTAGGCCTTTGTCAGGCAGCACAACCCCAAGAGAAACAATGGACTTTGGGTTTGGGCTATTGGAGCCCGTGCGGTACTTAGCTAATTCTCCCACCTGCTTTGTGAAAGCTTCAGTAACTATCTCTTGTTCCCTGTCTACCCCAGTGAAGTAACCAGAATATAGTCCATGCCTTTTAAATTTAGTTTGCTTATCACTGGGGAGCGTGGCCAACACAGCATGCTGGTGGAGCGAGCTTTCGGAGTTCATTCTCTCCTTGCACCATGGGCTCTGGGGTGGAACTCAAGCATGAGGCTTGTGTAATGAGCTTACTGAACCACCTCACCAGCCTTCGTTTATACTTCTTAAATGCTTATGAATGTAGTATTTTTAGTATAAAGAAGGCAAGGTGGCCTGTAGGAAAATGGTAATTGTTTTCTTTTCCTAGAACATGAAATTACCATATTTTTAGAGTGCTAATATTATGCAGACCCACTCATGTTTGATGGTAAATAACAACCAGCCAGAGCACAGAAAAGTTGCTGGCATTTCACTGACTCAAAGGGGATTCGCTCTCTTCAGAGAAGCAGGGACACAGAAGAGTCTGTTTGGGACCTGTCTGTTTCATGTCCTCCGGGCCACTCGGCTTGTAGCGGAGCTGGGAAGGTAGTCCAGCTCTTAAATAGTGGCCTCTTCAACTCTGGTCACAGTTCAAGTTCTTTGAGGATGAGCAGCCTCCTGTTAACGAGGCTCAGAATGTTCTTTCCTTCCACTTCAAGGGTATTTTTGCAAGCTTCGTGGTAAGCACTTTGTGTATGCCTCTACAAGCGCGGGGTGGTAGTGCGCTTACTGACACGCCAGCACTTTAATACCTGCGTATTCTTTGCCCTGTGGCTGCTGCGCTGGAAATACAAAATCTTGTCAAGCTGAAAGCCCAAGACTTCTACTAATCCACTAGAATCTGGTCCCAAATTTTACTGTGACGTGAAACTGTTAGTCATTTGTTGTCACGTCCCTATCCCAGCTAGGGCCTTTCCACACTGTGTCTTAGCATGCTCCTGCAGCCAGTTCCCCCGCACAGGTAGGCAGTGCCTGCGATTGTCCCGTTTCCCTCTGTCTGATACTGGAACCTTTTGTCGATTCTCTCACCACTGAAAATCGGTAATTAAACTCTAGCTGCGTGCTGTTTTCTAAGCCCAGTGGTACCTGTTACAAAGCCAACTCTTTTCATTACAGTACTTCCTGTTCCAGGGTCTGGCAGGTTCTGCCTGCCTTATGTAACATCTTTGCAAGGACCCTTGTCTTTGTGGCTTGCCCAGCTTCGGTGGAGGGGCTCCTTCAGGATCAAAGAGTTTCTGACGAAAATGCCCGCTTATTACCTAACCCCGGGTTCTCATCTCGTCCATGTGTGCTTGCGTTTCAGGAAAAAAGTACCAGCTCGAATGCGAGGCTTAAAACTAATAAAGAAGTCCCCGGATTGGTCCATCAACCCAGAGCGAAGTAAGTTCCGCCTTCCCTTTTCCCTGTGTTGTCCTTAAAGGCCCATTTCTGCCTACCAGGTAATCAAGGTTTATTATAGCGCTTTAGTAATTGAGACAGTAAACAAAACTTACTCTCAGAACATGCTCAGTGCATAGCAAAGCTGACAGTTTCAGGTCATTTAGTAAAATAAATAAGAGGGATAGCTTTATGGCTCTCAGATGGGGAGATCCTGATTAAGATATAAAATAATATAAATCTTATGGGAATTTACTGATTGGTGGTTGCAATAAAATTGTGAACATATCTTCATTAGACTATACTATAAGACAGTCGAGGTCGCAAGACCGAGGATGACGTACAGATGACAATACAGATTTTCCAGAATGCAGGAACTAATTCTACAGATAAAACTGCATAACCCAGAGGAAGGGCTAACACATGAAGAACCATCTGACTGAGGAGGAAGCCTGTGCAGCTGGTCTGTTTGAAAAGTGTGTTATTTCATTCCATCAGATTCTCGAAAATGTCTAAGTCTGACAGAACAGAAGTTGTCAAGATGATGAACTCCAGATCCCCTTTAACCCCTACTCGTGGGTTCACAGCAGTGCAACTGGAAGGGAGTAGCAGGGGATGCAGTTCTCCCATCTAGTAAAGTTGAAACTAGGCAGACTTCACCCTCCAGCACCTCCAGGGACAGGCATATGCCCTTGAGAAACACATTTCTGCTGGGAGACATTTTGACATCATCATAACAGCAGTTTAGATAAGCTTTTAGAAGTAAAACCAAGTGTCCATCGGTATTATAATGGGTAACAGTACTGTGGCGTGTTCTGATGGGAACGCTACGTGGCAGTCAGGGAAAATAAATGAGGAAGGTACATGTTCCACACGTCAGGGAGGGGCATTCTCAGAACAGTTAGTAGCAGGATGCTCCTTTAAATTCAAAGATATAAATGAGCGGTATTACGTGTATAAGTATATGGCAAAATAACAAAGATAAGCCAGGAAATCAGAAAGCATTCAGTCGAAATGGTGCATCTGACTGGGTGAGACACAGGTGGACCCAGAGGCTCTCTTTCCTAATCTGATTGTTGCTTATAATGTGTAATTTTAAGAGATCTTTAACTTGAAAAAATATGCTGTACCTAGTACATCTCCTCAGTGGCCTGGGTACTTGATACTTTGCTGGCTTCCAACAAATGAAGACTCATTCATCATTTTACTAAAATAGCTAATGTCTTGGGCGTGGTGGTGCATGGGTTAAATCCTAACACTTTGGAGACAGAGGCAGAAGAATTACCATGCATTCCTGGCCAATTGACTTAGTAAGTTCCAGGCAAACCAAGACTACAAAGCAAGAAGCTGTCTTAAAGGAAAAAGTAAATAAAACAGCACATAAAAAATAAACATTGACTCATTTTCTAGATTGTTCTAGGGCTTATTCCATATTGGTGATAAAATTCACTTTGTGATCATGAGACTACCGTTATATTTCTTAAGAGAGGCTGTTAGTCTTTACTGTAGTACTCTGCTTAAAACCAAGTAAATTCCCAAGGATTCAAGCATATTTGACATATGTCACCTCCTCCCCGTTCTGTTCTTACATCAAGACCGTAGCAGAAGAAATGTATCATTGCTAGGCCTTCCTGGAAAACTGAGTTTAAAACAACCTGCTTCATGATCCCTGTGATGGCTGTTCTTGGTCGTCAACTTGACTACATCTAGAATTAACCAAAACCCAAATGACTGATCACACCTGCCAGGTGTGTTAACCAAATCATTTAAAGTGGTAAGACCCACTTCTAATCTGGACCTTTAAGCTGGAAATACCCACCTCTAATCTGGGGCAGCCCTTCTGCTGGAAGCTTATATAAAGGACATGGAAGAAGGAAGCATTTGCTCCCTGCCTGCTTGTTCTCACCCCCGCTAGCAAGTCCGTTCCTCCACTGCCTTAGAGCCTGCTCTTTTGGATTCCAGTGTACACTGAAGACCAGCTGAGACATCCAGCCTTACAGACTGAGCAACTACTGGGTTCTTGGATTTTTCCAGTCTTAGGCAGCCATTGTTGGATTAGCTGGACCACAGCCTGTAAGCCATTCTAACAAATCCCAGATAGATAGATAGATAGATAGATAGATAGATAGATAGTCATTCTGTAGGTTCTGTTCTTTAGAGAACCCTTACCAATACAAACACTTTGTCCAAGCCCAGTGTCTCTGATTTGCTAGAGCATAGGCCCACGTGATGGCAGTTAGAACTCGTCAGCAGATAGGGAAAGGACTAAGAGTTTCAATGCTCACTTCAAAGAAAAATGAACACTTATAAGTCCACTTAAGGGTCTGGAGAGATGGCTCAGCAGTTAAGAGTACTAGCTGCCCTTCAAAGGAGCCGAGTTCAATTCCCAGCATTCACATGGCAGTTAACAACTGCCTGTAGCTCCAGTACCAGGTTATCTGACACCTCCACACCAATGCACATAAAGTTAAATACATTTTTTAAATTAAAAATAATTAATAAATCCACTTAAGGTTGACTGTGTCAGAGTAATGGTGCAGCTGATTGTCTCCCACTTAAGGCCCCTGCTGCTGGTCACCAGGCCCTCCCCAGAAGCCTCTCTGATGCTCGTCACTGCTGTAACTTCGTCTGCCTTTGGAGACCACGAGACCCCTGATAACACAACCCATCACTTTTCCATGCAAGCACCTTGAAAATGGGCTATTCTTTTAAAAGGCTTCCCCTAGATCTGAGTCTTAGGGGGTAACTGCATGGATGGATGGATACTGCTCAATCCTGCTGGAATAATAGTTCTGAACCTGTAGGTTGTGACCCCTTTGGGGGTCACTTGACCCTTTGATAGGGATCATCTAAGACCATTGGAAAACACAGGTAGTTACATTATGATTTATAACAGTAGCAAAATTACAGTTATGAAGTAGCAACAAAAATAATTTTATTGTTGGGGGTCACCACACCATGAGGAACTGTATTACAGGGTCTCAGCATTAGGAAGGTTGAGAACCCCTGTGCTAGAAAGAACCCTTTATTTCACCTTGACGCCTGGAAGCTGCTCGGTCTGCAGGGAGAGAGTCCACTACAGCATTTAGAGATGTATATTAAATGGACTTGTATGCTTACTTTAGAAATAGCATTTTCCACATAGCGTGTGTGCACACATGCGCGTGAGAGTGTGTGTTTGTGTGTGTATGAGAGGGGGAAGCTGTATGTGTGTGTTTGCATATGTGTAGGGGGGAGAGAGTATGTGTGTGTTTGTGTGTGTGTTTTAAGTTGTAAATGGAATCTTGTGTACTTAGAGTGCCTTGAGAATGAGGGAAAAAGGATAATTGCCCTTAAATGGGGCTGTGTAAATGAAATACAGGATGTTTACACAATGAAAGGTTGGTCAGCAGTTTAGCCAAGTCTCTGCAGTGGTGCACGATGCTGCATAGACCCTTGCAATTTGATAGCAATCCTGCAGTAGTTACATAGAGCTTGTTGCACTCTATAGACTTTAAAAATACAACCAAAGTAGATAACTGGGTGTTTTTTTAGCACATTCAGAGGCACAGCAAGATAAAAGGCAAGAGATGGTTTCCCTGGGGCAGAGGGACACTCAGTTGGCAACTAACCTTGGGTCAGTTATAGCTTGTAATTGAGGTTGTAGTAATTAGTTTTGTTTTGAGCTTCACAGCTGCTTATATTGGTTTTGTTTTTTATTTCAAACAAAATAATTAAGCAAATAGAAGCAGCTGTGTATGAGCTGCCACTGGGAGTGTCAGAAAGGCCAGAGTGAGGCTTCCTCCCCAAAGCTCACTTGGAAGTGGCTGGTGATCATTAGGAAAAAGCCAAGCAGGATAAGATTAAGAGGAACCCAGTTGGTGGTCACATTTGGTGTGTGCAGGTGTGAAGGCAGACCAAATCCTGCCTCTGTCCACTTGGGTTTCCATCTGGACCTGAGGGTTAAATTGTTACAAGGTAGATAAACAAGATAAGCATATCAGTGCTGGGAAGCGCTATAGAAAAACAAAGACCCAGAGCTGTTGAAAACCTTAGTGTTGGTAAGTTGAGCAAGGTGAGGCAGTATTTGGGGATGATACTTTGTACCTTCAAAGGTAGAACATTAAGAAGGTAGTGTCTTGCCTCCTGTCTTAGTGAAGTTTCTGTTGCTGTAATAAAACAGTGCAACCAAAATCATCTTAGGAAAGAGATTATTTCATCTTATAGCTTGTAGTCCAACACTGTGGGAAGTCAGGGCAGGAACTCAAGGCAGGAACCTGGAAGCAGGAACTGAAGCAGAAGCCGTGGAAGAGTGTTGCTTCCTGGCTTGCTCAGCCTGCTTTCCCATCCATCCAGGACCACCTGTCCAGGGATGGCGCCTCCACAATAGTCTGGGCCCTCCTACATCAGTCACTAATAAAGAAAATGTCCCGCAGGCCTGCCTACAGGCCAAGCCTATGGAGGCATTTTCTCAGTTGTGGTTCCCTCTTCTCGAACAATTCTAGCTTATGTCAAGTTGCAAACAGACAGGCTGCCCCCTATATAAACCAGTTTTTCCTTGCTGTGACAAACACCTGAGAAGATGCACCTGGAGAACGGAAGGCTTATTTTGTCTCAGAGCCACTTGCTCTGTTGTTTCTTGGCCTCTTGTGAAGGAGAAACATCCTGGCCAGGAGCATATTATAAAACAAAGCAACTCATGGCAACCAGGAAAGTGTAGGCAAGGAGATAGAGACGGGGATAATGCAAATGTGTAAAGGGCCAGAGAGAAAATGCATCCTTCAGGAGCCTGCCCCCAGTGGCCTGCATCCTCCAACTAAGCCCCACATACTAAGGTTCCCACCACCTCTCAGTAACCCAATATCAATAACTGTCAGCAAATTCATCAGTAGTGAGCTTCATGATCCAGATGCCCCCCAGAGACCGTTCCTCTGAACATTGCTAGGTACTAAGCCTTTGTGGCATTACCTTTGGGAGGCGGTTGTCAGTTCCAAACCATATTACTGCCTTACATTTTTGTGGCTGAAGTTTCCATATTTGGGAATTTTATATGTCACTAAAAATGAAAGCTGAATGCCTTTACTTCTGAAGCCCATGTTGCCCATCATTCCTTCTTTGGATCGCTTTACATATGAAACTCAGAAGCAGCGGAAAGAAAAGCTTCTCAGGGTACAAGTTGGTCTTACAGAACATTGCAGTGCCCACTCGGTATCTGCTGAGCTTTGTGAGTTAAAGCAGATACCACTGTGTAGCTTCTTGTAAAGGTTTAAGTAGGAATATTAGCCCCACATTTTTTTGCTGTATAAACTTATGTACCGTGTAGCCGTAGTCCCTTTCTAGTATGTGGAGAGGAAAGCTAAGACTGTCGGTGGCTTTTCCCTCTCTCTGACCAACTCACAGCCATCCAGGTGTGCATCAGGAAAAGAAGATGCCTAGAATAGTGTTGGTACTCAGGGAGGAGCTGGTCCTCACAGCGCGGTTTGCACTCTGATATCAGTGCTGCTGTGTTGATAGCATTTCCGTGTTGGTAAGGCAAGGGTCCATGTGCATCCGGGCACGCGTGTGTTTCATCAGATTCTGTATTGACAAGGTTTCTTTCTTCCCTCTGGAATGAGCCCAGGGAAAAGAGAGTGAGCCTTCATCTTTCATACCCCGCTAAATGAGGTGATAGATGGCTAACTTGGACCTTGAGGGAGCATTTGCTCCTCTGGAGAAGCATGCCATAGTCTCTCCGACAGAAACATTGGTCTGAAGGAGCTTATGTCATGCATGAGGTTCTGATAACAAGCCCCCTTTCCATTCACCCCGTTCCACCTACAGCAGGAAGCATACTGTGTTTCAAGAGTGAGCCTGTCTGGTCTGTAAAGGCAGGCAGGCAGGCAAGCTGGCAGGCAGCATTTCCCTGACATCGGACAACACAAACTAAAAGCACCGAGGTGTGCTTGTGTCTCCACACACATCCTTAGGCTAGTGGCCTCCACCTTCAGTCTCTAGTTCCTGAAACAGAACCCGTAAGAAGTTCATTGTGACCACAGAGATGGCAACCACACTTGGCAGAGTTCCGATACCCTCCCTCGTCCTCCGTGCTTGTATATGCCTGCTAACCAGACATGGCTGTCCTCATGTTGTAATCATTAAATGAAGACGCACATGGAAATTGACAACAACTGAAGATGGTTAGCAGTAAGGCTTGTTTATGTAGGAAGCAGCGTCTGAGGCCAGGCACCTCAGCCACGTGACAAACCACACTGCGGCGGTGAGGGGTCAAGAGTCACATGAATTTAAATGGCACTCCATCCATTAATTAGCAAACGATGTAATATATACTTTGTTGCATGCAATGTATATATAGCTAAGAACTGCAAGCAGCAGTTTGCGCCACGAACACCAAAGCCTAAAAACACCATTTTCATGAAGTCTCTTAAACATCCTTAAGGAAACGACACAGACACACACGCACACGTGCACATGCACCTATATTTGCAAACGTAAATACATAAGCACATGCAAACCACATACATATACATGAAAATGGAAAAAGTATTCAACATCGTTAGTCGTCAGTGATGCACTTGTTATCTGTAAGAAGATGCACACCTACTTTACAATTGCTGCCTGAGACCTACAGCTGTTGAGAACCTGGCCAAGAACAAGAAGAGTCAAAGTATGTCCATACAGCTAATATGGGTGTCAAGCGACTCACGCTCTGCACCCTCAGGAAACCTCAGAGTCTCACGCTCCCTGCAGACATCGCGGAAAAGCTTGGCCGTGCTGATCTGAAGCCTGTAGTAAAGTAACATCCGGGAACATAGCAGAGGGAAGACCAGCACCACTCCAGCAAGAGACCACTAGAGAAAGAACAGTGTCAAGATGAGATGCAGAACTAAAGCCCTGAGGCCACAGGCTCGTGAACTCTGACCAGCCCTATCTGTGCTCGTGGCCCTGAGTGTCACAGTACTGCAGGAGAGTGTGGTGATTTAAGACTACCAGGATGGCCTGAAGTCAGCAAGGAAACATGAGTGGTTGTCTATAGTGGGCCTTCTATTAAAAGAGTGCGTGGTAGGACAGGTCTGCCTCCAGAGTGGCTCAGGGAAACAGACACTTTGACCCTTAAGCAGGTCGAGGCGGGGGAAGCTGGGAAAGCTCAGTGCACACGCTGGCTTTTCTGCTCAGGATTCTGCGGAGAGAAGGCTGTTGGCGTCGTTCATCCGCTTCATCCCAGACTCTTGCTCTGCTTTTCAGAACTGCATACGAACGAGAGTCCAATTCCCAAGCAGAACATTTTCCTGTTGGAGCGGTTTCGTAAAGGATGGCGAAACCACACGCTATGTGTGAAAGCGCTTTGTCAACTGTGAACTGATTAGTGGTGTCACGGGTTTGCCTTGTTTTCCTTGCATGGCACAGCTGCTGCCGTTCGCTCACAGATTTTAAGTGGTGGCCTTACACCTAGCAGAGAGCTTCTCCTGGGAGTGGAGCTCATGGGAAGCCTGAAGGGTTTCTAAGGTGTGAGGAATGACATGTGTCATGCTAATGGCACATAGGTAGGCTTCTCCCTGTGTGCTCTAAAGATTATTATTATTCTAGGCGTGCTCTCTACCCTTGTCCCCAGACACTGCAACCAGTGTAGTATGTCTCTCTCACCCAGTGCCCTTCACCTCCATGGACCTGTCAGTAAATATCATCAGGCTAGGACCACATAGCACTGAGGCCCATTCTGCCACCCCTTTCCCATCTATGGTCCCTGCTCTCTTCGCCTTCTTACGTGTTAACCCCAAAAACAGCTCAGCCGATGCAGTGAATGGGACGAGAAGCACGTGTATGAGGATGACTCCTCGACACTCTTAACTGACCCCTCGTCCAGTGGAGTTCCAGTTACTAACGGTGCAGAACTGGTCAGTGGCTGTGTCCAGCAACTGTTCTGTCCTCTGCTCTTGTGTCTTCAGCCCGTACTCATAGAATCAGCTAGGTATGTCGGTGCTACAACTTCTGTAAAATCCGTGCTTCAGTGGAATGAGAATAATTTTCTCTGTCACACACAGGACTGAAAATTCCCATGTTGCATGTCCTTTGCTCTTTTAAAATCTCACATGTGTTTTTGAAGGAAATAAATTGGCAGGCCCAACCCAGTGATATCAATATAAGTAGCCCCTACACATTGAGTGGAAGTTATGTTGCTTAAGTCATGAGCACTTGTAGACTTAGGAAATAGGTTTGCAAGATCAATGTGATGATGTGTGTTCTAAAGTAGCCTTGGGGTATTTTAGTAGGAAAGTCTGCAGTATTGAACAACTGTCTGCCCAGAGATTAGGGGTTCACCATCGCTTACTTGAGATAGCGGGGTTCAAGGGTGCACTGACTATTCTTTGTTTTGCAGCATGCACATCTCGGAAAGCCAACAAGAATTCTTCAGAATGCTGGATGAAAAAATTGAAAAGGTAAGAAGGCAAAATAACTAAGTATACTACATTATTTCAAGATAAATCTACTAATTAGAAGTTGGGATAATGATACTTTTACCCCTGTATTCTAAATCTTTTGGCAAAGGATTGGACAGGATGGTAAAACAAAACAAGCAAACGAACAAACAAAAGAGTGTATACCAAAATAATGTGTTAGACCCAGGAGTCCTAGCCTGCTCCAGCTCACTCTGGTGGGTCAGATCAGGAAGAGGCCACAAAGGAAGGCCACTCCCTACAAGTCCCCCAAATGTGTGCATCCACCTGGCACTGCACCAAGTCTTCCAGGTGTCCCATGCCTGTTTCCATTACTCCCCTCCTCTGGGAGTGGCTGGTTTCCCTGCAGACCACACCAGCAGAGCGCTACCACAGATGGCACACGGGGCTGTTGTCTGCTTTTTGCTGAGGCTCAGAGTGCATGAGTAACTTTCCCACACTTGCTCACCTAACACAGTGCTCCCTTAGGCCTCAGCTTCCTTCTCTACAGTTTCAATTACTCAGTCAAGTGCGGTCCAGAAATACTAAAGGGAAAGTCAATAATAATTCGGAACTCTTAAGTAACTCATGACTATTGCCATAATTACTGTTCATTGTCATTGCTCTTCCTGTGCCAAATCCATATGTTGGACTTTATTATTCGTGTGTAAAGATCTGTGTACATTTACACAGGGTTTGTCATCCAATCAGACTGCATACACAAGAGTGGTCGCCTCATATTGTAACGGCTGAAAATTCCTCTCACACAGTACTGTTGACACTATTGCTTGTGTGTTTGTGGTGTTGGAGCTGTGCTGTTACACCATCACACCATTGCTTGTGTGTGTGTGTGTGTGTGTGTGTGTGTGTGGTGATGCCACTGTAAAAACGTACTCCACTGCCAGTTGCATGGAAGGAGAAGCACACACAGTCACAGTACATAGTGCTTAAAGGGCTCTGCTGTTGGTGTGTATGCCTATTACACTACTGGTAGCTGTTTGAAAATGTATTCCCTCTGCTTCCTTGCCACACTGATATCAATCTCATGCATCTTGGGTATCTTAACAAGCCTCTAGGTAGCTGACCTATGCCATCCAGCTCCCTCTCTGATGTTTGTCCAACAAAATTGTCTAGTGGTGTATTTCTCTAAATGTGTCTTCATCATTACATGACATGTGAGTGTAAACAGGAAAACAGAATATATAGGGTTTGTCACAGTCCCCAACTTCAGGAATCTAATGGGAGTCTTGGGGACTTACTCCTGACAGATAATTTGCTTTTATACTAGGCTTCTTCATACATTCATAATTATAGTTAGCCCACCCTACATCTTCTGCACACCACCCGCATCCCCGTGCCCACACAGACCCTTAGCTTCTGCTTTTCTTCCCCGTTCCTTCAGAACACGTATGTTTTACTGTCTCCTCTTAGATTTCTTGCTTGTGTTATAGGATCATGAGTTCCCCAGTAGCTTTGTCCCACAGACAGCATTTCGGTTAAGCCTTTTTCTGGACCCTCATTTCCCATCCCTCTCACTACCTGTTTGATCTGTTCTTTCCTTAATATCCCCCCTCTCTATTTTTCATTTCACCTGTTTTTTACTATTTCCTCTTCCATTAATGACAGTCTCTGATTTCCTAGCTTCCTTGTGCTAAACACAAAGATTTGAAGCAAGGATATTCAGGAGAGGAAATATGTGGCTTTCTTTTACTTTTTTATGGGTATTTTATCCGGACATCTCTTCCTGAAATCCTGCCTTATGGTTACAATATTTAATGCAAGATAGAGATCATCTTAAATTTGTAAGAATTTCAGAGTAGACCCAGTTTTGAAGTGGAACCATGAAAGAATAAGTTCATAGTCTTCTGACTCATTGAAAGACCAGCGGTGTCAAGGACATCACAAGAAAACACACAGAAACAACTCACCTGGCTCATAGGAACTCGGTGTCTGAACCAAGAGCCAAAGAGCCTGCATGGGAGCGAGCTAGGGCCCTCCACATATATGTGACAGTTGTGTAGTTTGTTCTGTTTGTGGGACTCCTAACAGTGGGGGCAGGAGTTGTTCCTAATGCTGTGGCTGTCTCTTGGGAACCTAGTCCTCAGGGTAAACTGAAAAAAACCGAAACCTGCCTTTTAAGTTAGGTTTTCAGCTTTCTGAGCGCTGACGAGGCACTAAGACGATCTTGTCCATTCCCAGCAAGTTTCCCTGTCTCCTCTCACTCAGAGCGAGTTCGTTGTTCCTGTAGAAAACAAGACGTCCTTCTCCACCTAGGATGGAGCATGATGTGTTTGGCACAACCAAAACACCGTTTCTGACTAAACCGTGGACTAGGTAGAACATTCCCTAGACAAGGAATATTTTAAATTTAACATGACCAGTGTCCCCACTACTGAACACCTTTTCTTTTTCTTTTTCTCTTCTTTTGTATTTGGTTCTGATCATCAAACCCAGAGCCTCCATGATGCCTGCTGGGCAAGTGTTCTCCCTCTGTTAGCTTAGCCTTCAGCTTCATTTATTCTGTGTCTTATATAATACCCCACCTCCCAAAGATGGAGAGGTTGGTTTGAGGGTTTATCTTCACTTCTTTTTAAATTATTTTTATAGTTAGTCTTCAAAACAGTAGGCTTCATTATGTTTCTCTGGACCACCTACCTATCAAACAACCATTTGTTTACACTTAGAAAATATTTGGGTCCCTGAATGGCCCGATTTCCATGGGCTCAACACTACACTAGTTGGTAAGAAAGGTAGAAAGGTTATAAGTCTGTGTGTATGAAGTTATTTCAAGGACCCTTATCTATTCTATCAAATTGGGTTAGTGTGACCCACACCTAGAGTCAGTGCATCAGGCACCACAAGAAGCACATTCTTCATCTGGTTAAGTGACTTTGATTCTACTGTATAAATACATCTGCAGGAGGAGCACCAAAACGTTCTACACTTGCAGTTTCATTCTTGAGCTTTGGAAGTTTGGAGCTGGGCAGTCGTAGCTGCCTCCTCTCTGGGTACCAGTGAGTGATGGCAGACACAAGGAGCAGGGGAACATACTGAGTCAGCATCCACCGTATTAATGACAAGTGATTCCCGGACACAGATCCAGAGCTAGTTCAGAATACATTTGTAAGATTTAAAACATCAGAAGGTTTATTGTCAAATTACGTAATATGCACATATGTAATATGAAATATGTGTAATCCAGACTATTAAAAACTCTTACATTACTAGGTATATACCCTTGAAATTCTCTTATATAATGCAATAAATGCCACCATAGTAGTCTGTGTTAAATAGCAAAAATGAAAATTTAAAAAGCTGGAAGCATCCGAACATGCAGCAGCCAAGAAACAAATTAAACCTTCTATATCTTGGTGTTATGCAACAGTTAAAAGTAATGAAGCAGATGTATAGATGGCACAGTTACAGTCTTCAAGTGATATTATTAAATGAATAGAGCACAAAAAATGCAATACAAAAAAGTGTGTTGTAAAGAAATACTATGATATAGTTATACTTACATTCAGCAGAGAGATAGATAATAGATACCAGTCGTCTGTCAGGTATTGGCAGGCATATGATAAATGCATGTCGCATGCATTCACATCAGTATAGTATGTTCTGTATGAAATATTTATAAGTGACAAGTATTTATATGCTATCTATTTAGATGTTCAGGCGCACATAAAAACAGTATATTTGATATAGTATAGCTAACACAGTATCAATATTATAGAAATATTAAAGTCTCTAAAGTAAGCTTGATGCAGGAGTATATCAGTGGTTGAGTACATACCTATGCCTGAGTTCGAGTCCCAACATCAGAAAAAGAAAAAAAAAAATCTGAGAAGGTAAAGTCTGTGGCCATTGTGATCTCATGTTCTAGGTGGGAGGGTGAAAGACAGAAGCATGATACCAAACACAAAGAGCTCTTTTGTCTAAGTGGTCGCTGCATAGTGCTCGCTCCATGCTTGGTACTGCTCTGAAACTTCACTTTCTCAGTCAATAGAAATCCCTGAAAGCAGGAATATATTTATGACAAGATGTCAAGTGGACAAAAGGCAGATGACACAGTGGTCACCAGCCTTGCTCCCATCTTCAACTGCTCCCAGTGTGTGCAGCGGTTCAGAATGTCCAGGAAGTGTTACCATCAGGGCAATGGGCCTTGTACTAGGTCACCTAAAACATGCCTTGTAGCTCCCTATGGTACTTCGCCTGTAGGGTACAATCTGCACTACTACAGTTCCTTCCGAGCTGGGCAAAGGGCCGGAGATTGAAACACAGACAGACACAGACGCACAGAGACAGAGACACAGGGACACGGGTCATCCTTGAAACAAAAATGCCCCTCTATTGTGCTCAAGGACAGCTCGTACAGGGCTCTTGCCAGGCCCCAGCTCTCCCAATTTTTCAGCTACAGCCTCACCAGAAACCACTCCCATGCAGGCTGCTTAGAGCAGAGGAAAACAGGTTGTTTACAGAAAATTCAGGGTCTGGTGGTCTGCAGTCCCCAACCATTCCTGTTTTAGATTTCAGCTGAAACCGTTCCCAAAGCCTCCTGTAGTCATAGTCGCAGATAAAAGTGAATTGCCTAGACGCTATGAAATGCTGTTCTTGTTGGCCAGTTGGTCAGATTTAATCGGTGTTAATAACCAATCCATTGAGCCAAATAGTCTCCACTATTGGAGATACACAGTTGATTGTGCCGGCTCAGCCACGTGGAAGTATTCTCCTAACCCAGAACTCAAGAGGCCTCTCTATTTCCTGCTTGGTTAGCTCGTGTTCTACCTTTTAGGGTTCTTAAGCTGTTCCCTGTACTTCCTGTTCGGAAAGCAAGAGAAAGGAAGGGAAGGCGAGCCTCCGAATGCAGCCACCAGTGACACAGCCCATGTGGGGAGGACGGGAAACTTACCATGTTAAAATTGACCATCCTTAGGCCTAGTCTGTGGAGTAGTCAGAGTGGTAAGCAATCTCCTCCACTTCTCCACCGTGAGTAGCTAGACCAG